CGCTCCAAAACGAACCCACCCCGGGAGGGAGAACGACATCAAAAGTGTCGTCATCGTCCCTAGAACAACCCGAGCAAGGTGACGCTGACTGCAATGACGATGCCTCAACAAGGAAACGACAACAAAGACATTGCCATCATCTGCCATGATCAAATTTCTATATTTCTGAAACTGCATTGTAATGGTTGTGAAACTCCACAAAAGTGGTTGTGAAACTGTACAAAAAATGGTCATGAGGAATTTCATTGAAATTGGTGGGTGAACATTCTGAATTGTGGCTCAAAAGTACACTAAAATGGCTCTGAAATACAGTGTTGGAAATTTCACTAAAATGGCTCCGGATAATTCCAAAATGTAGTGTTTGAGATTGCAGTAAACTGGCTTTGAAATTTGATTTACAGGCTAATACTGCTCCTTGATATTTGTAAAGTGCGGGCTGTGAAATTGGACTGAAATGGCTTAAAAAAATGATTTGTGGTGTTCGAAATTGTATCGGATTTTTTTAGATTGGACCGAAACTGCACTGAAATAAACTAAAATTCACGTAGAATTGAAGTTGAATTGTTATGAAATTGCGCTAAAATTTTAACTAAAATTCACTCAAAATTAAAATTTGAGACTGATTATGTTGTGAAGTTTCAGTTTTGGGGAGTTCTAAATTGCACTGAAACTTGAAAAACAACAACGAAAACTATCTAACCATTTTCTACAATTTGGAACTTTATTATTGTTTTACTAATTCTTAGACCCACCAAGAATTAATTACGATGTGAGTAGAAATGCATTTCACAGCTAGTGGAAGGGAAACCTCGAACAAACATATCAGGCGAGGCGTGTGGTATCCTAAAAAAAAGGTGAGGCGCGTGGTGCAACACTTACGAGCACTTTGGCCTACGGAGGGACTTACGGGATTACCTGGCCCAATCCAACTAATCTCCCTAATACCTGGCCATGGGCAGTCCGGCCCGGTCGGCCCGACCCAAAAAAGCCCGACCTTGTCCATGGGCCGGGCTCAGGCCTAGGTTTTGAGCCCGAAGCCCGGGCCGGGCCGGGCTCGGGCCCGTCGATTTTGCCATTTAAGAAAGAGGCCCGGCCCGACGGGCTTTTAGTGTGATGGGCCGGGCTCGGGCCCGATTTTTAGGCTCGATGGCCGGGCCGGGCCGGGCTCGGGCCTGGGTTTTTTGCGTCGGGCTTCGGTTGGCCCGGCCCGAGGAATGGCCAGGTATAATCTCCCCCCTGATTTTCAGGGTAGGGCCTGCCAGTATGTTTCATCTCATCCAACCACCTCATCCCGTACATGCTTTCCGTAAATCAGTGCCCGTAAGTGTAGCATTCTCCCGCGTGGTGAGTTACTAATTCACAAACATCTGAGTGGGAAGATCATGCCACAGAAAAACCTCAGTACGTACGGAAGATCCTATATTCGCGGTGGGCTTCCTCCTCCCTCGCGCTCTCCATTCCGTTCCGTTCCGTAGCTCGATCTTTTCCTTCCGCATTTCCGCAACAGTGCATGCATCTGCGCATGATCGATCGGTCGAGGCTTTCCGCTCCGATCGGCGCGTGCTAGCCGCAACATCTCGTTGCGATCTATAGTAATCCGCATCGATCACGATCTTCGTTTTCCTTTTCTCTCACGTGCCCGCCATGCATGAATTCCTGATGCGAACATAAGCACAGATCGATCGGCCATGTCTGTGGTGTCGACGTCGGATCTCAGCTCGCTGGAGGCGATGCTGAACTCGCTGATGGGGAGGTCCGGAGGAGGAGAGGTAACGCAAATGGACGACAACGACGAAGAGGGTGAAGAGGAGGAGGAAGCCCTCGAGTCGCCACCGCCACCGCCGCCGCCGCCGTTGCCCGTGCTGCCGACCCTGCGAGGCCGTCTCCCGTCGCTGCGGAGGGTCCCTGGGGCCGCCGCCGCGGGGCCGTGGACCCCGCCGTCGCCACCGCCACCTCACAAGGTACCTTCCGTCCATTCCATTCCAATCATGCCCATTATTGCCATCGGCATTCGCATCCATCCATTCGAGCTGATCTGACCATGAGGCGCGGGCTGCGACATGCAAATTTCTTCGCAGGGGGGCGAGGACGACGCTGCTGCGGAGGTTTCAGGCTCGGTGGCGGAGCTGGAGAGGAAGGCGGCGGAGGCGGAGGCGCGGCTGCGGCAGAAAGAGGAGGAGAACGCGGCGCTGAGGCGGCGGATTGAGAGCTACCACATCAGGTGGCTGGAGTACGAGATCAGGATCAAGTCCCTCGAGGAGGATTTCCACGAGCAACTGGCGTCTCTGCAGATGGCTCGGGACGCTGCACGGATTGCTCAAGAGTTACCCTACGTCGACCTCCATGAATTCTCCGAGCCTCGCATGATGAAGCTGCCCGGTGAGGAGGCATCGCCGAGGCTGCGGCAGGCAGGCAGCCGCCGCAGTGCGGACGGCGGCAGACGAATTAGTGCTGTGGGCCGGCTCGGCGCGGAGTTCCGGCGGGGGAGCCAGGCGCTCGAGAAGGGCGTGGCGGCGCTGACCGTCGAGCAGAGGCCGTGGCAGCCCGGCGTCCCGAGCGCGGGCTCCTTCGGTGACCTGAGGAAACTCAAGGCGCAGTTCCGCTCGTGGAAGAAAGATTACAAGGTCCGGCTGCGCAAGGCCAAGGCGGAGATGGACAGGGACAGAAGGCGTCAGAGCAGCTGCTGGATTTGAAGTCTTGAATTAATTAGATTAGATATGTTATTCAAAAATTAGGTGGGCTACGTATGTTGTTATAAGTATTGAATTAATTCGATATATGTTCAAAATTCATATGTTTCAAATCGGGGCACAAATACTTTCTAGGTGTGTCGTATTGCCTTTATCAAGGACACGGTGGTTAGTGTTGGAAATATTAGCACTTTCTCGATTAATCTAATTCACGAGTAGACAGTAAACATGACAAATACAATATGCATCTCATACTGATACGTAAGCATGTGAGCACGTACAGTACATAGAACCGAAACATCTATGAACATCATATATACGGCTAGCACATGAACGAGCAAATAGGGGATGAACGAGTCATACCCTCCGATTGGCCAGGCCAACGCGGCGGCGGCAGCAGCAGCCTCGGCATCGGCCGAGGCCTTCTTCTTGGCGGCTTCGTCGTCAGCCATGGAGTCGATGCAGGGGAAGTAGTGGAAGCAGAGGCGGTCGGTGAAGGGGACGGATCGGGAGCAGTCGCGTCGAGATGCTCCTCAGAAAACTTATTGCCGTTCTCTCGGGCAGGATCTCGAACGACAGGGTTCCGGATGCACCTGCTCTCCCGACCAACTGTGCATGCGGTCGTCGGGATGGGATCGCCGGAAGCAGCATAGAGAGAGGAACAGTAAATGATTGCCAGGGTTGTGCGAGAGGGAGTGAGTGAACTGGGTTAGGGTTCACTCCACTGTCCAGCGCCTTCTTATATAGGCCGTCGGGTAGATGGGTCTCGGCTCAGGCCTACGACCGAGTCCGCGAACAGCCCGCGGTCCAACTGAAGAAAATATGCCCTAGAGGTAATAATAAAGTTGTTATTTATATTTCCTTATATCATGATAAATGTTTATTATTCATGCTAGAATTGTATTAACCGGAAACTTAGTACATGTGTGAATACATAGACAAATAGAGTGTCCCTAGTATGCCTCTACTTGACTATCTCATTAATCAAAGATGGTTAAGTTTCCTAGCCATGGACATGTGTTGTCATTTGATGAACAGGATCACATCATTAGAGAATGATGTGATGGACAAGACCCATCCGTTAGCTTAGCATAATGATCGTTTAGTTTTATTGCTACTGTTTTCTTCATGACTTACACATATTTCTCTGACTATGAGATTATGCAACTCCCGAATACCGGAGGAACACCTTGTGTGCTATCAAACATCACAACATAACTGGGTGATTATAATGATGCTCTACAGGTGTCTCCGATGGTGTTTGTTGAGTTGGCATAGATCGAGACTAGGATTTGTCACTCCGTCTATCGGAGAGGTATCTCTGGGCCCTCTTGGTAATGTACATCACTATGAGCCTTGCAAGCAATGTGACTAATGAGTTAGTTGCAGGATGATGCATTACGGAACGAGTAAAGAGACTTGCCGGTAACGAGATTGAACTACGTATGAGGATACCGATGATTGAATCTCGGGCAAGTAGCATACCGATGACAAAGGGAACAACGTATGTTGTTATGCGGTTTGGCCGATAAAGATCTTCGTAGAATATGTAGGAGCCAATATGAGCATCCAGGTTCCGCTATTGGTTATTGACCGGAGATGTGTCTCGGTCATGTCTACATAGTTCTCGAACCCGTAGGGTCTGCACGCTTAATGTTCGATGATGATTTGTATTATGAGTTATGTGATTTGATGAACAAAGTTTGTTCGGAGTCCCGAATGAGATCGGGGACATGACGAGGAGTCTCGAAATGGTCGAAAGGTAAAGATCGATATATTGGAAGGCTATATTCGGACATCTGAAAGGTTCCGAGTGATTCGGGTATTTTTCGGAGTACTGGAGAGTTATGGGAATTCGCTGGGAGAAGTATTGGGCCTTATTGGGCCATACGGGAATAGAGGAGGCATGCCAAAGGGAAGGAGGTGCGCGCCCCCATGGGTCCGATTTGGACTAGGGGAAAGGGGGCGGCGCCCCCCTTGCCCTTTCCTACTCTCTCTCTTTCCCTCTTTCTTCTCTCCTACTCCGGAAAGGAAAAGAGGAATCCTACTAGGACTTGGGAGTCCTAGTAGGACTTCCCACACTTGGCACGCCCCCTCTAGGGCCGTCCTCCCCTCCTCCCTCCTTTATATACGTGGGCAGAGGACACACCAAAGGCACGACAGACAATCTCTTAGCCATGTGCGGTGCCCCCCTCCACAGTTACACACCTCGGGCATATCGTCGTAGTGCTTAGGCGAAACCTTGCGCCGGTAATTTCATCATCACCGTCTCCATGCCGTCGTGCTGACGGAACTCTTCCTCGGTCTCAACTGGATCAAGAGTACGAGGGACGTCATCGAGCTGAACGTGTGCTGAACACAGAGGTGCCGTACGTTCGGTGCTAGGATCGGTCGGATCGTGAAGACATACGACTACATCAACTGCGTTGATAAAATGCTTCCGCTTTCGGTCTACGAGGGTACGTGGACACACTCTCCCGCTCGTTGCTATGCATCACCTAGATGGATCTTGCATGTGCGTAGGAATTTTTTTTGAAATTACTACGTTCCCCAACAGTGGCATCCGTGCCAGGTCTATGCGTAGATGTTATATGCACGAGTAGAACACAAAGTGTTATGGGCGATAATAGTCATACTGCTTACCAGCATGTCATACTTTGATTCGGCGGTATTGTTGGATGAAGCGGCTCAGACCGACATTACATGACCGCGTTCATGAGACTGGTTCTATCACCGTGCTTCACACACATGTGGCTAGTGGGTGTCTGTTTCTCCAATTTTAGTTGAATCGAGTGTGACTACGTACGGTCCTTGTTGAAGGTTAAAACAGCACACTTGACAAAAAATCGTTGTGGTTTTGATGTGTAGGTAAGAACGGTTCTTGCTAAGCCCGTAGCAGCCACGTAATACTTGCAACAACAAAGTAGAGGACGTCTAACTTGTTTTTGCATGGCATGTTGTGATATGATATGTTCAAGACGTGTTGAGATATAAGTTGTTGTATCAGATGATCATGTTTTTTAAATTATCGACAACTGGAAGGAGCCTTATGGTTGTCTCTTTATTGCATAAGATGCAAGTGTCATGTAATTGCTTTACTTTATCGCTATGCGATAGCAATAGTTGCAAAATTAGCAGTTGGCGAGACGACCATATGACGACATGTTGATAGAGATCAAGATGATAGAGATCATGGTGTCATGCCGGTGACGATAGAAATCATGACGGTACTTTGGAGATGGAGATCAAAGGCACAATATGATGATGGTCATATCATGTCACATATTTTGATTGCATGTGATGTTTATCTTTTATACATCTTATTTTGCTTGGTTCGGCGGTAGCTTTATAAGATGATTTGAGGGAGTCCTGGATGGTGGACACCCCCAAAAAAGGCAATGGCGACGAGACATCGGAGGAAGACCCCTCCAAGAAACAACCCAAGCGCCGGCGTCAGTGACGCCGCTCTAAGTCCCGCCATAGCAAAAGTAGTGATAACAGCACAAGAGACAATAACACTCCGGATAGTGCCGAAGACGACAATAATCCCCTCCAGCACGACTTAGAGCAGGAGGGTGAACAAGCTAGCCCTCCAAAGCAGGCAGCAGATGGAGAATCGGAGGAGGACAATTACATGCCTCTCTCCGAAGACGAGGTGAGCCTCAGCGACGAAGAATTTATCGTGCCTGAGGATCCCATCGAGCAGGAGCGCTTCAAGTGCCAGCTTATGGCCACAACAAATAGCCTGAAGAAAAAGCAACAACAGCTTCAAGCTGATCAAGATCTGCTAGCAGACAGATGGACCGAAGTCCTTGTGGCCGAGGAATACGAACTCGAGCGCCCCTCCAAGAATTACCCAAAGCGCATGTTGCTACCCCACTTCGAGGAGGAAGCATTGAAACCTACATCACCAGTGTACGATGCGGCTGACCGGCCACCTCGTGGCCGAGCCAGAGAGGCGTTTCGACCTGAAGTTCATCCTGCACCCCGCCGCTGCTCAAACAAAAATACCAAGGCCCGGGGCAACACACGGGACCTGCGAGACGTATTGGAAAACAAGGCAAAACATGCAAGATCGATCTACGGATCACGGGGGCACGCACCAATACGTGACGATGATCGTCACGCCGGATACACTAAAAGCAAACCCGGCTGAGCCAGACACGGCAGACAAGACTCATATGAACCGCGTCGCGATATAGCCCGACATAGAGGCGCCGCACACCCCTTAGGCTTCACTAATGAAGTAATGGATTATGAATTCCCAGAAGGGTTTAAACACGTAAACATCGCATCATACGATGGTACTACAGATCCCGCGGTATGGATAGAAGACATCTTCCTCCACATTCATATGTCTCGCGGGGATGACCTACATGCCATCAAGTATCTCCCGCTCAAACTCAAAGGGCCGGCTTGGCATTGGCTCAATAGCTTGCCGGCAAACTCCATAGGAAGTTGGGAGAACCTGGCAGAGGCATTCCTGGACAATTTCCAGGGCACTTACGTGCGACCGCCGGACGCTGACGACTTAAGTCATATAACTCAACAGCCAGGGGAATCGGCCAGAAAATTCTGGACCCGGTTCCTAACCAAGAAGAACCAAATTGTCGACTGTCCGGATGCAGAGGCCTTAGCGGCATTTAAACATAATATCCGTGACGAATGGCTCGCCCGGCACCTCGGCCAAGACAAGCCAAAATCCATGGCAGCCCTCACAACACTTATGACCCGCTTTTGTGCGGGCGAAGATAGCTGGTTGGCTCGTAGTACCAATACAACAAGCAAACATGGCATATCACAAGCCAGGGATAGCAACAGCAAACCACGACGCTGAAAGTGCAACTATCCCTGGGTGGTTTTGGTGATTCCTAACAACATATAGCTCATTGAGCTAACATTATTCCAAGATTAATATTTCAGGAAAAGCTCAATGAATGGCATGGCATGGATGAGGAAAGTGGATCCCTCAAAATTCTAAGGACAAAAAGTTTGGCTCAATC